GACGGGTCAGGAGAGAGGCGTGGGCTGTCCTTGCTCTAAAGCCTGGAAGGGCAGAGCCATGACGAGCCCGAGCGGCCAAACAAAACCACTCTGAAGCAAATCCTAAGCAGGAAAACGAACCGCCTGGTAAATAAGAGCCCGAGGGAGTAAACATGGGCTAAGTGATGTAGATGTGTACGGATACTGCACGCCCTCCTGCAACGTAAAACGAAGAGTATAATAGAGTACTCTATACCCCGGTATAGGGTAAGGGGTTATATTTAGCTGTGATAATCACAGCGAGAGGGTTACACGCCAATGAAAACCTGATTTTCTTCAAGGAAAGAAAATAAAGTGCAAATGCAAATCGACATTAAAATAATTTATTTAAATGCAGATTTCTGGCTTGCTGATTTAAATTACTTTGATTTAAAGCAAATGCATCCTTTTTATCAGAAATGATTTGCCACTCTGTTGCTCCAGTTTTTCTTCAGTATAGCTGCCTTGGATTAGATGGAGTACATGTACTGATGTAGAAGTGAATTGGGTTTATTGGATTGTAACACAAATTAGAGTTTTATTTTCACATAACTAACCAGGTGGTATTCTACCAAGAAATCAAATGGCAGAACAAGAACAGGTTACAACTTTTCTGTAGAGAAAAAGGTTATTCTGTGTGAAACAGCAGAGAGGAGTTTGCCATTGGGTCAGACTGGGACTCCGTGTCTCTCCATTGCGGGGTTTCTAGTACACGTCTTTGGTGATTTGGGCTCTGATTTAAATCCTGTATGTTTGTACTCTACCCATTCATTTTCTTACAGGACCACCGCCATGGTTTGCAAATGCAGATGATGCTAGGACCATGTGTTTACATACAAGTGTTTTCATGGTACTCAGAGAAGAAAAAAATATCATGACCATAGTCATTCATCCATTGTTTTCCCAAGTCACAGTCCCAGCTCTCAGGCCACTGATCCATCCTCCTCTCACTGCATGTCCCATACGGCTGTGCAGCATTTTAGGCAAACAGGGACCGTACCTCTCTGCAAGTTAGATGGGCCCATGCACTTTCTACTCCCAGTCTAATCACGTATTCTGCATCATTATAGAGTTACTGGCAACCCTGTTATAGCTGTACAGTTTACCATCTCACTTTCATTTTAAATTCAAGCTTTTTTTTTTTTTTTTTAAATATTTCTGCCATTAGCATATTACAACTAGAAAGAAACTCCAGCCTGTTACATCCACATCTGCATTTCTTGCTTGGGGTTTAACCCTGCTTTTAGACGAGCAGTCCCAGAGAAAGCGATTGAGCTCATCAGCTGCCAGTCTGTAGCATGGAGGCATTGTATCCCTTCTTACCCACACAGAAACCCAGATCAGCTAATCACTTCATTAAGGCTGCCTAGGTTTTAGATAGACAGCTGATCTCACAGATGCTATTCTTGGTCAGAGCTCCTTCTCTTTTTCTAGTTATCATGGCTCTTGGTATCTTCTCCTTCGGAGAGCTCCCTGATTGCAGTAACAGAGAGAACATAGCGGCCAAGTGCTTTGTTCTGCTTTCATCAGAGGCAGAAGTCATAATTTTTCCATCACTCAAAGCTTCCCTAAGCACATATCCTTGATTCTTGGAAGCCATCTCTTCAAAGGAAGAAGTATTATGCATCTTTAGGATGCTAACAAAGTTGAAGGACTCCTACATATTGAAGTCACAGTTCAGAAGAGACTCCTTTATATGAGCACTGTAGCAGGTACTATAAGCCCACTAATTCACAGAGAAATCCCCATAGGAATAAGCTTTCTTGTACACTTTAATAGGCTTTCAGCATTTCACTTATATGTGCTCCAGAAACAGGTTTGAACAGGTAGAAGAAGCATTGCAGCTTGAAAAGGGAAGCTTGGTTTTAATAAGAAAGGGCCTTTAAATTCTGCTAAAAACAATTACTGTGGAAAAGAGGAAGGTGTGAGAGCATCACACACACTACATTTTTCCTTTGCTTTCACACGAAAGCATTAGGAAAAACCAGAAAAGACAAGTGAAAATTTGCAGCTTATGTGCTATGTAGAGGAAATTAATTTCACTAATCAGCACTTGTAGTAGAAATCCTTTGCACTCAAAGGGAAGGCTGTTCAAATATATCGCTGCTAGATTTCTCCTGTAGACGCACTGACATCACCAACTTTTTCCGAACGGCAGAGCCACCGCTGCAGAAACACACTTCCAGCGCAAACATCATTATTTTCAACACTTAGTGATTGGTGAAAACAAAAAAAAACCCAACCTCCCCCTATTTCTCAGTCGACATCTCAGAGAAATATCAGAAAGGGCAGAACTGGATAAATGCTGAAAACCAAAACACAGCACCTACTCTCCAGTGAGGATTCATAGCCACATTCCCTTCTACAGAACTGGGATCCCTTTTAATGGTTTTAATGCGAACAGACATTCCCATCTGTGTTAATCTGAACTAAAAGCACATCCGCATGCTTTTAATACAAGAATGTCCAGGTTGAATGGGAAGTATCCAAGATGTGTTTCCAGAGATGTACATCACCAAAAAATGGTTGTGCAAGTGCCCTAAAAACAACTTTGTCAGAGAAATGATCCCATTGCAAAGCAGAGTAACATTTTTAGGAAGTTTTTTCATAGAATCATAGAATCATTGAGTCGTTTACGTTGGAAAAGACCTTTAAGATCATCGAGTCCAACCGTTAACCTAGCACTGCCAAGTCCACCACTAAACCATGTCCCTAAGCACCACATCTACACGTCTTTTAAATACCTCCAGGGGTGGGGACTCAACCACTTCCCTGGGCAGCCTGTTCCAGTGCTTGACAGCCCTTTTGGTGAAGAATTTTTTCCTAATATCCAATTTAAACCTCTCCTGGCGCAACTGGAGGCTGTTTCCTCTCGTCCTGTCAGCATTTGATGGCTCCAATACCAGCATGTGGAATACAAGATATAGGGAGTAATGAACTGAATTCAGCTGATAACACTCATGTGTTCACCAGTGGAAGTAAATGACACCTTTTTTATTTTTTTCCTGTAAGAGAATGGCAGAAGGCAGCCTTATCAAAGAGGTCCCAGCATCCTGAGAAGTTAAGTCGTTCACACAAAGATAGACTGTCTGTCTCCTACGCAATGTCAATAACAAAAGAAAAAACTTTGTGGGGAAAGAGGAAAATCCAACAGTTTCAGGTTACAGAAAATCACTTTCATCTTACAAAGGAAAATAACAATAACAAAAACCCCACAGCTCAAGAGATTTCTTGTTCTCGTTTTTCTTCCTAGCTGTCCCCAACCTTCAGACTGTAAAGCTGGCAAGATTTGAAGAAGTTAGATGCTTCATCTCAGCACAGATTAGACCTCAAGTGTGGTCTTGTTTACAGAGAGAAAAAAAAAAAAAAGAGGACTTTCAGGAAACAAGGGCAGGTTTCACTTGTGCAACCTATTTTCAGCACGGCAGAACAGACGGCACCAATCCCTCAGGGCATGGGAGGGAGCCTGCCCGGCTTGTGCCCTAGACCCTTCACTGAGAGGTCTCAAAACTACTTTAATCCAAAGATGCTGCTGGGTGATGGCCCACTTAAAGGGGTTTGGCGTTCGATGTGCGCTGGTGCTCAGGCCAACTGAAGGAAGAAACCTTGGGCAGTGTCCCCGTGCTGGGCTCAGTCCTCTCCCTGCGATCAGCAAAGGTCGCACATGTTTGCTGGGGATACCTCCCCTGGCATCATCCCCTAGGTACCGTGCTCCTCCACCACCCTGGGCCCAAGGAAGTCCTCACTGGACCTGTAAAAGCCATTTTAAACCTGGGAGATGGGCTCAGAGCCAGCGTTTGCGCCCTTCCCCTGTACAGTGTTCTGGGCTTGGTGCAGCGTTGTTCTGCAGCCCATCCAGGGTGATGCATGCTCCAGAGATCAGTGGTCCTCTGCCCTTCAAGAATGGTTTGTATGCTGTGGCAGGCCTTTCAGAGGGCTAAGAGCTTTGCAATCAGATAATATCCAAGCTAGCAGATAGACTCTGTTTCCCATTATCACTCAGCTGGTCAAATCCACAGATTCCTTAGCTCAGTAATCTGAAGGGCCAAACTCTGCCCTCATGAGACCAAGGCAGAGAGTCACTGCTA